CATGTTTGGTGGTATGCGGACTCGAACCCGCGACCCTCAGATTGTGAGTTGAGCGCCTTATCCACCTGGCCATGCCAGGCCTGTATCTTTGTGCTTAATAACAAACAACAAAATATAACAACAACCGTTTTTACGGATGGCTTGGCATGGCCATGTGGCTAGGGAGCTCGACTCGCAATCTAAGGGTCACGGGTTCGAATCGTTGTCACACCAACCATGCTCACCCTTTCAGCCGTGGGGGCGTTATAATGTAACGGTCAATCCCACTATTGGTTGGTAAAAGAGTTGGCGGTGGGAGATGATGGCGACCTGCCTATAATTGCCTGAACAATGTTTATAGTTAGTTTTACATCAGTAGTTGGATAGGAGGTGATAAACATTGTTCAGGCAATTATAGGACAGTTAGTTTTACATCAGTAGTTGGATAGGAGGTGAATCATACTTCCTGACCATTTATATGTAAATCGTGCTGAAAAGGATGCTTATTTAAATACCATGCAATGATTTAAAACTTACTGTTTTACTAGTTTGTCTTTATGATATCCATATAACTTGACAAAATAATTCATTTACACATGTTACTTTACAGTTTTACAAGAGTGGACGGTGTAGCTGTACTTCCACAAATGATTACATCATCAGTGTCTAGGCTTAATTAAGTGAAAACCATTATTTTAGCAGGTTTCAACATGTCTCATCTTATTTTATATTTAATTGTGTTTCTATAGGATGATAATGTTACTAACACAAATAACTTTCTGTTGGAAAGTTTTTTACCATGCCTAATGTTTCTATAGTTATTGAACAAGACAGCCAACCACGTCTGTATAATTTAGTACACATTCAACATATACTGATTATAGGTTCTATATTTAAACATACTTTTTATATTTATTGTCCTGGAAAGGATGCAATAACTCTTATTTCAATGAGACAATTATTATAACATAAATATTATTTGAATGAGGTAGTGTAAATCACTTGTCATCTTCATAAAGACGCTTATATAAATATCATGCAATAATTTAAAGCTTACTCTTTCAACTTTATGTCATTCATAATTTAATATATCTAGTAATTCATTCTACCACAACTAAAGATAACAAATGAATGACTTACTATTTATCTATCCAATTTCTATTAAAACATTGAGACTGTCTCATGTTATGAAACATACAATCAGGACACTGAAGTCAAGCTAGCTAAATTTTGACTGTTAAAAAATATAAAGGTTGTCACATGATCACATGGGAAGTGTAGACAGAGAAAAATAAGATATAGAAAGGAGAGAAAGGTCCAAGAAGCAAGTTGGGCACAGTCTGACGTGTCTGTTATTCAAAGCCACTGATTGGTTCGATAAACTTTGGTTTTAGGCTATATATGTCAAGATTAGAAAAAGATTTTAAAAAACAGAATACTATCTGACTTTATTAAAATAAAAGTCAATTATAATACATTGTCAATATCTATATGTTTTCATTATTTTAATATTTAATATAAACCGTTCAAACTCTATATAAATTTAATTTCCACTTTATAAAAAACTATACGAGTATTGATGCATTTCAATTAAATACAATTTTTGTATTCAATTGGACTTGTACCACTAGAAACCTGATAGCGATACCCATGGTAGGCATAGCACATACAGCCCATCGTGTAGCTTTGTGCTTAACTACAAACAAACAAACAATTAAACAGTATGTTTCTAAAAATGTGATTATCGATGATAATACTTTGTCACTATGTATGTATTTACATTATATACTTAATATTGAAAATAAATAGTTCAAACTCTACATAATCATATATCTCCAAGATAACTTTAATGTTCATCATACTTTAACTAGAGTTTTTGTATTTCACTGAAATTCAAAAGTCACTAAGCATAGTTCTTTACTTTACTTAGTGATATAAAACAGTTATTGTGTATTCACGATATTCTATTTCTCAATATTTGATGGGACATCTCAGTTAGCATACAATTACTGCATACATTCTATTCAATACTGTGCCCAATGTGTAGTGTACTCAATAATGTCTACTAAGTCATACAAACGTGGTTGGATGTCTTGTTCAATAATTATAAAACATTAGCCATGGTAAAAACTTTATCGTCCTATAGATACGTGTCTCTAGCAACGCGCCCTCTGGTTCTACCTCGTGGAACTATGACGTCATATTCGCTTATCATAGCAGCCTAGCAACGCACTCTTTTTGGTGACTTCATTTGTATGGCGCCAGCGCCTTCTGGTGATACTTCGTGGAACTATGAAGTTATCGTCTCTGGTGATATTTTCTCTACCCCTTATCCCTATTGCATGAGGTCGACACGCGTATAACGCCCTCTGGCGGCGTGCCGCGCAATCCCTAGGGTAACTACTTACAATCTTAGTCCCTTCTCAACCATAGAGAACATCACAAAATCAAGCAAGTGGTGGTGTTTATTATGCAGAAACAGACAGTCAAACTGACGGACAGGCAGACATACAAGATAGACAGAGAATGTACTGATAGAAAGAGACAGCCATATATGTTGAATAAACAGAGATGGAGTGAAAGAAAGACAAACATACAAGACAGATAGAGGGACAAAGAACTGTACTGATAGAGAGACAGCCATATACGTTGTATAAACCGAGAGATGAGGTAACAGACAGAGACAGACATACAAGATACATACAAACACTCAGAATGGAAAATTGTCTACACCTTAGTGATTATTTGAAGCGTATCATATGAGACAGCAGATGGAGAGTTATGTACGATGATTATTTTTTTAAGTTACGGTAGTTTGAGAGTTATGAAGAACCTGTATCACAAAGGAGAAAATGGAGATTTATCTACACGTTTAGATTATTTAAAGTGTATTATGTGTGATGAAACATTCAAAACTATGTACAGCGATTATTCATCCTGTTTGACAGAAGATGGGGATTTGTTTACAGAGATTATTCAAAGAGCATCGCATTTTAAGGCAGCTGGGGAGTTATGCAGAGTTATTATTTAAAGTTTATCATGTGTGATAGAATATAGAGAATTGTGTACAGTTGTTATTAAAAGTGACCAAGTGTGATGGAAGATGGAGAGTTATGTACAGTGATTTTTAAAAGTGTATCCCATGTTATGTGACCATGTTATGTTTATTTCTTTACTCAAACACTTCCAAGATGCCTTGGTTCACGTGGCCAGCTTTTGTCTCTTAACTTTGTGTTAGTGATCTCACCTTTTACAACTTACAAGATGATTCCTTTTGCTTGGTACGACTTGTTGCAAGTCTCTTTCTAGGTGGTCCTACCTGCCCAAGTTAATCCATATTACTTTAATTTTGAAAGTCATCAAGTGCTTAAAATATCCCTATCTGAGAACTTATAAATATACCCCATTAGAAAATATCTTCATTA